ATAAGAACAGTGGGGGCTCTTTCCCTCTACACAGTCGCCGACTCAACATGGCGCAGCCCGTGATTAAGTACGCCGCATCGCAACAGAAGGCAAACACGCGCGCCATTCGCGCTCTGCGAACTTGCTTTGCGACTTCAGGGATCACACTTCGCGTTCCAAGTTTTCAGTTTCGCGCGTCTCCTGCTGCTGCGGGGAACTGCTCCGTTTCAGTCCCACATGAATTCATTGTGATGTTCTTCTTCCACTCCATTTCCATCAAGCGCATTTGTGTCCCTCTGAAAATCCGCAGAGACTCACGTTTGATTTGACGCGTGCATGTGATGTGTATGTACGTCGTGCTTTGGTGCTGCTGGATTTACTTGATGATTTTCAAGTTCGATAACTGTGGCATGCGTTGTCCATCTTTCAAAGAAAATCCCGGGGATCGCAATGTTCCCTGGACTTTTCCTGAAAAATAAGAGAGCGAGTTTGATGTGCTCAAGATCCGCATTTTTGTTCATACCGTGATTTTCGCCAACGCTGAATTTTCGCCGCTATTTGGGTTCTAGGGAAAATAACTNGAGAAACTAACGCAAAATTTCTATTGATTTTCGACCGGAAAAGAGCTGTCGATGATACAGCAGTGAACTCTCAGTTGGCATCTTGAGAAAGCCAGCGAACAGAAGGTAGATTCAATTCAAGCCGAAAATCAATTTCATGAAATTTTCATATAGAAGCTTCCCGGACGTCTGATTCAGAGCATCGTTCCAGGCGAACAGAAATTCCGACGTTTTTGGCGTGAAATGGCTTCATTTATATTACGATCATTTTATATTTTAATCTGAAAAATGTTGTTATTTGAAATGCATCCAGAACATTCGAGTGAAAACTGCCATTTTCAATTGCTCCTTTTTTCGTACATGACCGGTCAATTTGACTTACGGATACTGTATTTTAGAAATTTTCGAAGACCTTGTCATTCAGTTCGAGGGACATGCTTCGAGGTCTAAAGGGGTAGTGTTGAACATGGAGCGACATCGTTGAAACACTTGAAAAGCTTTCAAAAGAGTAGCTGACTCAGGATAAGAACAGTGGGGGCTCTTTCCCTCTACACAGTCGCCGACTCAACATGGCGCAGCCCGTGATTAAGTAGCGGCGTAGCGTTGTCTTCCGTTTGTGCGCGCGGTAAGCGCGAGACGCTTGAACGAAACGCTGAAGTCCCTAGTGTGAAGCGCAAGGTTCAAAAGTCAAAGCGCGCAGAGGACGACGACGCCCCTTGTGCTCCGTTTCAGTCCCACATGAATTCATTGTGATGTTCTTCTTCCACTCCATTTCCATCAAGCGCATTTGTGTCCCTCTGAAAATCCGCAGAGACTCACGTTTGATTTGACGCGTGCATGTGATGTGTATGTACGTCGTGCTTTGGTGCTGCTGGATTTACTTGATGATTTTCAAGTTCGATAACTGTGGCATGCGTTGTCCATCTTTCAAAGAAAATCCCGGGGATCGCAATGTTCCCTGGACTTTTCCTGAAAAATAAGAGAGCGAGTTTGATGTGCTCAAGATCCGCATTTTTGTTCATACCGTGATTTTCGCCAACGCTGAATTTTCGCCGCTATTTGGGTTCTAGGGAAAATAACTTAAGATTGTGTACCAAAGGCGAACTTCATCGAGACAAAACTTGATATTTTTCTGGGAGAATGTAGGATCGCATTCTGACTACTCGCACGACTCCTAATCTTCTTAATCATTAGACTTGTGTAAATCTCTTATTGCCTTAACAAAGGTTAACAACTAAAAAGAGTCTACTACTACACGATAATACAGACCACGTGGAGATTGAATGAGTCCTTGCACTTTTTCTGAGACACTCCCAGCATGATTAAACAGTTCTAGACTAAAGCTGAGCGGCCATCTTGATTTCTTTATAATTTAGATATTTCATAATAGAGACTTAGCTGGTCTTTGAAACTTGGAACTTCAAAACTTTTAAAATATAATCGAGTTAGTTAATTTTATTGCTTAACCAAAATAAGGCATTGCTAAAAATGTCTATATGCTCCTATAATTTATTTTATTGTTTTGCAGCAGATATATTATTTTGGTTCCACTTGATAAACTGATGGATAAAAGGTGCAACAATCTGAAGCATTTAAAGAGTTTCTGCGAATCGAATTTCTTTCCACGTGCTGCTTGCGAATATAATTTCGTTGTACTGTACTTACTCATGCTTCAACTACTTTATTAATTTTTCAGGTTGACCGAAAAAAAATAAGCCCCGTCCGCACGTAGCTGAAGCAAACCTGAAACTTAAAAAAAATTTATGCACTAATACGAAGGACCAAGTTGTTGATGCGAATAAGAGAAGCCATTTGACTGAAAATCCACCTGAGATTTCCATCCCATCAATTTTCAAAAATTGACTCTCTAAACGAGTACGTATTTTTCCTTGGTGAACCATTTCTTTCAAGTGAAATTATCTTCGCAAACAAAATAATGAGTGCGGCCATGCAAATTCGAAGGAGAAATGACTACCAATTCGTTCCGTCTTCTCTTGATTCGTTCGTGGCAGGTATAACTTTGTTGGTGTTGGGAAGGCACGCATTAACTGCTCCCGGTCTACTTTCGTGATCGCTTCAAATGCCGTTGTAACTCTCTTTTTGGCTAGCTCTTGTGCCTTCTTCCCGTCTTGAATCAATCGTCGCCGTGCATCCACAGACGCTGCCATCGATGTTTCCGAACGAATTAAATTAATATGTTCTTCTTCCACTCTCATTAACTTCGTCCGTTTTCGGTTTAAAGACGCTTCAGCTCCTTCAATTGTTTTTTCAAACAAAAAATCGCTCTGGATAATCGACATGCACTCTGACAGTCTTCTCCATCCATTAACTCCGAGCCCGTCCAACTCCTCCATGAACTTTGTTGCAATCGCCGGGAACCGCACCGTCTTCTCCAGCATATCCTTGTTGTTCATTCCGTCGCCTATTTCATAAACACATCTTTAATTTCACAATCAGGTCCAACGAACTTGTGATTGTACAAAATCACATGCGACTAAGGGTTGTACAAAACTCTAAAGTTTGTGGTTGCACAAAACCACCACCATACCGGTTTGCGCATTTCTTTGCTGTTTTTCCTTAATTTAATCTTGTTCAAGCGCCAATCTGCGACCGTTTAATATACGGATTATGATCAAACGTACCATTCATGGATGTTGGATGTTCTGCTTCAACGTCGACAATCACGGCAGGAGCATTGAAAACATTGATCTCGTCGGNAACTGTTAAGATTGTGTACCAAAGGCGAACTTCATCGAGACAAAACTTGATATTTTTCTGGGAGAATGTAGGATCCGTAAGACTGATGAGCGTGCTGAGGATTAGAAGAATTAGTAATCTGAACACATTTAGAGAATAACGGAATTGTTTCCAATTGTTGATTTTTCTCAGATGATGATGTGCTATTATGTCTGGTGCACCTAATTGAATGAGTCCTTGCACTTTTTCTGAGACACTCCCAGCATGATTAAACAGTTCTAGACTAAAGCTGAGCGGCCATCTTGATTTTCTTATAATTTAGATATTTCATAATGGAGACTTAGCTGGTCTTTGAAACTTGGAACTTCAAAACTTTTAAAATATAATCGAGTTAGTTAATTTTATTGCTTACCCAAAATAAGGCATTGCTAAAAATGTCTATATGCTCCTATAATTTATTTTATTGTTTTGCAGCAGATATATTATTTTGGTTCCACTTGATAAAGTGATGTATAAAAGGTGCAACAATCTGAAGCATTTAAAGAGTTTCTGCGAATCGAATTTATTTCCACGTGCTGCTTGCGAATATAATTTCGTTGTACTGTACTTACTCATGCTTCAACTACTTTATTAATTTTTCAGGTTGACCGAAAAAAAAACAAGCCCCGTCCGCACGTAGCTGAAGCAAACCTGAAAGTTAAAAAAAAAATGTATGCACTAATACGAAGGACCAAGCTGTTGATGCGAATAAGAGAAGCCATTTGACTGAAAATCCACCTGAGATTTCCATCCCATCAATTTTCAAAAATTGACTCTCTAAACGAGTACGTATTTTTCCTTGGTGAACCATTTCTTTCAAGTGAAATTAACTTCGCAAACAAAATGATGAGTGCGGCCATGCAAATTCGAAGGAGAAATGACTCATGCCTTGGATGATAGTCGCGCATTTTTTCTCATGTACTCGTATTTGCACTTCGTATCGTCGGTTTTCTGCACTGCACTCATTTTTGGTCATCTGTAGACATTTACTAAGAATGGCCTGAAGATTTGCAATGAGTTGTTCACGCATAATTGTAACTAACTTACATTTTATGGGCATCAGAAACTCAAACATAATTTTGTTTGTGAGTCCAATAAGAAAATAAAACTTCTAAAACGCATCCTCATTTTGCGTCAGGTTAAAAGAAAATGTATACAAATGTTTCATTTTTTAAATATGGGCATCGCGTGCGTATTACATAAAGTGCAAGCATAATAATTATATTTCCAAGCTCGTCTAAAATATGAAAGAAAATGCATTCTTCCAAGGGATTGTTTTTCTTCTCTTGGCCTCGAAACTCGGATTCTTTCGGTATAAAATCGCGGCGGCTCATCTCCCAAGAAACCAGTTTAACGCCCCTTTGCTTTTTAATCTTCCTTGATGGAATAAAAACTTGTTTTAAATGAAACGAAATTACGTATTATAATCCACAAGAACTTGTTTATTCTTGCGTAGATTTCCGCGGGATATCATCTTTTTTCTTGCGACGAAGTCGATGATTCACGTCCGTTTTTGTGTATTTTTTTCTATAAAAAAAATAGTTTTTTAGCGAATCGGACAGAAAACGCTTGCAGTGCCGTGTGCATGGATTCGGTCTGGAAAAAAGCGAGAGATTTGGAAAAAATAGATTGACAGAGAAATAAGTATAAACCTGTCTCCGTCGAAATCGCGCGACAGGACACAGACAGACAGACACATAGATACATACGTGCCATAGGAGAGACGCGTCGTCGTCGTCGTCGTCGTGGTGGCAATTGTGTGGTGCTAGTCGCGGTACCATGCCTATCGCGTCGACGAGCCAAAGCGACGATAGTGTGTACTCGGTGTTACCGTCATCCAAGTCGCGTGGCACCACTGTGGACTCTGTCGGCACCAGTGCTGGGTTCATAAGGGACCGCGTCGCGATTGATGTGCCTGCTTCTGTGGCGCCTGGCGACCATCACGAGGAACTGCTGCCACAGGTACCAGTGATGTGTCCATTTTTGAAATTACCCTGTTGAAGGGGAAATTTAACGCATATTTGCGGGATGTACTGTACATGTAACAGGGCTGCAACTTCATGCTCAATTACGTGTTGAACTTTTTTTTCCAGGAACGTTGTTGTTCATACCTTTGAAAACAGAGAGAGACGACGCATCATTTATGATTCTAACATAATCAATTTGTGGTATCATTTGTGCTTGTAATGTGGCAGAGGTGATACCAGTGTACAAGGAATTCCACTCGAACTTCAGCATTAAACAGGAAAATCAGATCAATTTAAATTATTATTATAGCCTATTATTTTAGCAGTTTGACAAACCCCAAAGAAGCCACTTGATGAAATGTGTCGTGATTCCTGAACTTAATTTATTGTGAGATATCCGTGACCGTTGCCGCAGTTGCTCATGATTATACTTGATGAAAAATACCAAACGATGAATTATTTAATGATGCTAAAAATAATCAGTGACATAATCACGGTCCGGTAGTTCATGAGTGAGTGATTGTTATTTTTTTGACGATCTATGCGATTTTCTTGAATTTCTGTACGAGGCAGAGCGTTTTCAGCACACGCCGTCTTCAGGAAATTTTTTTTTCTTTTTCTAGGGGAAAAATATGTGTTCGAACATGACCATGTAGATTTCCTTTTTATTGCTAGTCAGAAACTTTTTAGGAAATCAGAAAGCAAGGAAGATCGGTTTAAAAACCAAGGCACATTTTTTTTGTGGATTGTTTTGGCGGCGAACTCATGGGTCCCACCTGGAACAAACCACAAGGCACGACTGGCCCAGAAAACCCATCTTGATTTTTTTCTTTCTTCCTCCCCGTGCAACAAATGAGGTTTTCTCCGAATTCTAAATAAAAAGAAATGAAACAAAAAATTAGCGACTCCGACTCGCATGCGGTCGTTGCGCAATTTCGTGCAGTACTAAAGAGGGAACAGGTGGGAAGGGCCGGTGAGACTTTCGTTTTTTAAACGCCCAGTACCGAGTACTGGAACCGAGCAGAGAGAGATAGAGAGAAAGAGGCCTTCAGATCGGCTGTTCGGGGGGAAATCTCGCGTTTATTTTCTGCAGTACAAGTACATATTTATATTTTATATTTTATTTTATTTTTTGCAGGAGCCTCCCGTGTCTGGACATGCTTCCCCTCTGCTAAACTTAAATTCACCTGCCCTTGAACCCCGGCAGCGGTCATCGCCGTCCAGCTACGATATTCGTTCCCTGGGTGAGTTTTAATCTCGAGGTCGTTTTTGCGAGTCCCGAAACAGTACTTCCATTGATTCGTGATCAAGGTAGGACTTTGATCCCGAAAGCGTGAGGATTAGAAACCTTGTCGTCGTCCGATAGGGGTTTTTTTTTTCTTCGGATTTTATCATTATAAGACACGCAAGATTTGTGGAATTCGTTAACATGACTCTTGGGCCAACTGCTTCTTTCGTGTCCTTCGTTAATATTAGCATTAAATTCCTGATACGCGAGGAAATTTGTCAGTCTTCGGTTCAAGGCCGAATTTCCAGATACGTTAAGTTAAGGTGGGCTGAATTTAGGAATCGAATCTCCGAATTTTGAGAATCATTGCCCCTTTCCGCTTGAGAAATTCATCAGCATTGATTAATCCGGGTGCGTTTTTAATGCAATTTATCATAATTTACCGCAGCACGTCATGAAAAAATCATTTTTGCGCCGAAAAAGTAGGAAGATGGATATTCGAGTTTTTGGACGAAAAAAATTCCAGATGTTGTGATGAACCTCTCTTGATTAAATTAGGGAATTGGATCGACGCCACACATTCGACTCAATCACGAAAATAAAAGCAAATCAATGTTCGAATCAATTTGCTTTAATTTGTTCTCTAGTACGTTACTGCTTGAAGTGATTGAAAGAACATTATTTAAAATTAATACTTGCGTTTGTTTCTGAATTTTACAAAAATAACTTGACTTTTGATGAAGCTGGCGAATTTTGTCAATTTTGTCAAAACTGCTGTATATCGAATGCTTAACGCTGAAAGATGATTTATGATGTTTTCGACAGAGATTTTTTCGAGGACATTATTTTTATGAACCAAAAACTCGCGCAAAAAATTATTGACGCTCCAGGTTACAATTAAAAACTGAAGTTTCACATTTTTCTGCGTAAGAAAATATTCCGACTGCAAAAGAACTCTTCCTCTCCATCTCTCCGTGGAGATTCCAACTACTGTACTGTAATGTACTGTATTTTAACGTACGGTTTCCAGTTTTTCACATTGCAATTTCGCAATGATGTTATTGCTGTGCGCAAGGAGAAATAAATTTGTACATTCATGAGCTTTGGTCAAATGTCCATGTGCATGCGTTATCCGAGCCCTTTTATCCCAGCAACTTGAGCTGATCTAGATGAATTAAACGCTATTCCAGCGTAGCCAGTAATGATCCATGAATCACCTCCGATTAGGCAGTTGGCTCAGCTGGATATTTCATAAAATTTCACACCCCGTCACCTGTTACAAATCGTATCGTGTAATTAAAAAAAAAAAAGAGCTTCAACAATTCCAAGTTCCTCACGCGCACATGAATCTCCATCGCGCATTCCAACATCGCGCTCGTTTGTCAGACAACGGTTTTTCTTTTTCTCTCTCTCTCTTATTATCATTAACACGTTTTTATTAACTCGCTTTCTTGTCCGTTTGTTTAAAACGTGGTTTTTTAGATTAATTTTTTAATCTACTACATTTTTTTTTATTTCTTCCCTTGAAGGACCAGCTGGGACCAGAAAGAAATGGACCAGTGGTACGCAGTGGTGGTACATTAGGAGGTGGTTCACTGAGGTACCGGTTTATGAATTAGTGGTGGGGTGCCGCATTTACGCGCAGTAAGATTTTCAACTGGAATTGCAATGTGAATTACTGCATCGGTTGATGAAAATCTTGAAAAATATTTTTTGGGGAAACGCGGCCTGTTCAGAGAGAAATGTGCCGAATTTACCGAAAAATCCGAAGAACTTCAGAACAATATAAATTTTTAGGAATCGGAAGTTGAGGGATTCTAGGAAAGCTAAATTTATTTCCTGTGTCCTCAATCTGATCTGAATATATTGGTTGAAGTTTATAATCCTACTGTACGTATACACTATCGTAGATGTGGTATAAAAAGACTCCCATACTATCTGTTGACATTTTTTAAAAGCCAAAAAGAGTTCGACGAGTCCTATTCTGATATGTTGTATTAGTGGAGGGTTTCTCCTTGTCCTACATTGCGAGAATTTTAGGCATTTCTTTAATCCTTTGTGGATAAAACACAGCGTTCAAAAAGGAAATTGATAAGCGAGAGGAAGGAAACAAAAGTTATTTGAACACGAGCAAAATATAAACTAACGCAAATTTTCTCTCGTATGCATGCGAGAGAAGATTCAAAAGTGTTTAAAGTGCTGTTATTTGGAATACAATTTTTTCAGGCAACTGAGCTGTATATTCAAAATCCTCCATACCATTTTTGAGATCTATTCAATGCTGTACAGTACTTGAAATCAGTCTCTGCTTATTACTAAGTCAATTTCTTTCAACAGCCACGGCTTCGTTATTATTTTCCCCACCAGTTCGCATTTTATAGCACCCTATACGCATTCATCATCACTGATGTTATGACTGAAATATTTTTGAAATTTAAACATTGCTTCAAGATCTGGCTCATGGCTCTCAAAAGAACTGTTCGAATACTGTACTGTACAAGACATACGTGGCATTACTGAGACTGTCGGCAATACAACGAATAAGTTTGGCTGATGAACCTTATGCAGTATTTTGGTAGACCATTTCCTTCTTATCTCCATTTCAATGATGGCAAACAAAAATTGAAAGGAAATTTTCAAATACAGTGATATCCTGTGTTCCCGCTTCCAGCCGTTATTGGGTCTCCCAATCTTCGTAAAGGTTTAAGAAAGCATTCCCCCCTTGAAATCGTATACTTGAACAGAAAAAAACGCCATCGAACTTATGTCAGCCCTGTCCAAAACGCAACATGTGTTAAAATTTTAGAAAATTCCAAGTTGTTTCACAGTACAGTATTTCTTGTGGTACTTGTAGAAATTACTGTAGATCTCCCAAAACTTGAAGCACACCTCCGACACATCGTACGAACCAACTCTTGCTCACAGTTGACTCAACAACAACAACAACAAAAAGAAAAGTCGAAGAAAAAAGAGGAAGAAGAGACAAGCATTATAGAATAAGAAGGAAAGAAAGAAAATACGAGAAAAATAAGGGGCAGGGCTTCGATTCGGATCCAAACCTGTCCAGCCATGTCGAAACGGCTGCGAGGCCGTAGGGGAATGTCGCGTTTGTTCGTGGGGTCCCCCGGTCCAGCCCGAGCAAAGCTGCAGGGGACCAGGAATGGAACGAACACACAAGAGTGAAGAAAAAGACGAAAAGGAGAGAGATGAAAAGATGAAGAATGGAGAAAGAGAGGGACAGACAGAGAACGGGGGGAAATGGCGAAGACGTGGATGGACGTGAATGCAGCAAGTTGATGGCGAAGGAAGCATGGAGGAAAATTTCGGGATACGAGTGTGTGTGTTGTGTGTGTGTGTGTATGTGTGTGTCGGTGGTGCAGACCCCCATGGATTAGGGTCCTGGCTCAAAAGTCTTCTTCCCCAGAAGAACAAAAGTCTTTTTCCCCAGAAGCAAGAAGTGTTTTTGGTAGATTAGAAAATAAAAACAGAATCTAGTTTTGAAGTGCATCTCACGTTCCTCCCCCCCCCCCTGTGCCCACAGAAATAAGATAAGTCCTTCTTGATTACTTCTGCTATCTATTTTTCGAAATATCGTGGTCCTACTTATATGATGCTAGGTCTTTCTAAGTTGGATGCAGAGAACCAGGAAATCCATGGTTTGGGGTAGGCCCTTCTGTAACACGTTTTGGCATGAGTTTTTTCAGTTCAGTGACATTTAAAGGCAGTGGACAGACAAATACAATTTCTGAAATTATTAAAATCGGGATAAATTTTATTTGTGTTCTATATTTGCTTCAAAATACAAGAGAGGTATTTATTCTTTCTGGGATATTTTCTGTTGTTGCAAAATTAACTTTTTGTTTGCATTTTTTTTAAACAAATAGAAGGCTGTGAAAATACTGTTGAGTTTTCAACACCCATTGGCTGTATGTTATATACACATATATTCCGAAATTTTCCTGAGGAGGATTGTAAGACCAAAACTCTATCTAATTTAAAAAAAAAAATTGCAATGCACTGTAAGACTATAAATTTTTTTTCAATTAGTGTTGGTTAAACATGCACAGGATCTTTGACTGATGAAAGACTCTTGAGAGCAGTTGCATTTTCAGCAACAATTAAAATGACTGTAAAAGAGTGACAATGGTTAACCATTCAAGTTGAAATTTGTAAAAAGGGTTCATGCTGGAAAACATTTGTGGACATGTTAAGTCATTTAGCCTCTAACTTCTTTACTTCAAAATAAAAATCAATAAATCCTGGTCGCAGTTAATTTGTGTTCGAGTCGTCTGAAACCCCGCTTCCCTTTGAGACCAGAGAGAGAGATAGATAGATAAAAGAGACTTTTCTTTCATCATCCTGGTGTGTTTTTGGATAAATGGGGTTTTGCTGCGCACCACCCTCGTGTTTCTGAACGGGTTTCATTTGCTCCCCCTTTCCCGCCAGACCATGTGAAATTTTCCCGAGCTCGGCAATGCAATCATGTGAGGGGAGGAAAAGACGGGGGGGGGGGGAGCAGGTTTTTCTGATGAGCCCTGGGCTGCGGTAATTCCACCTGTGTCCTTTTATAGCACGCGGGCCCGCCGGAGCGGATCCAACTTCATGTGGTGGGGGGGTTCCATTTGAATGAATGCCAGAGAAGCTGGGTGTGTCTTGATCCCCGAGGCGTACTTGATTGCGAGATTTATTCCTGCTTGATGTGCCCTGACCCCCTTCATGCAAACTTCCCTTTTTCATTCCTCTTCTTGAAATTGAGCCCAATTAGAAGTGAGAATCTTCGTGCTCATTTCTTGAAAATAAGACGAAAACTTGGAATACGCAGTTCATCATTACAATACAGTACTTTATACTCAAAATATTCATAAACCAGATGAACTAAAAGATAATTTTCGAACTTCAGAGGAAGGTTTTTTTTTTAGAAAATTCAATAAGTTGGACTTGTTACCTTTCCAAATGTATAATTTTTCAAGATATGAAAGTTTTTGCGTATCAAGCATCACTTGTAGCTTCAACTGAAAAATGCTACCATATTTACTTGAGTGTGCATGCAACACTTACTTTTGGCGACAAACTTATTTAGCAAATCAATCCCTGCATAAAATGTCCAAC